TGCCAAGTTTAAGTTTAATGTACCAAACAAAGAGGGTGGTAATTTAGGGATAGTGGATTTTAGCTTAAAAGCTCTTATTTATTCCAAATTCCACCATGAGACAATTTACACTCCATCTTCGGTAACGTTCAATCATGAAATAGTCATGAAGACAACATTGACCCTTGGGCTTAAACTAAAACCCACATATCTCAGTCCCTTAGGTGGAAGACATGAGATTTTTTATGGCTTGCTTTCCACTACCACTAAAGCACCACCCATTGACATGCTCTAGCCTACCACCGAACCTTTCATGGATAAGGTTGTTGAAAAGAGAAATGATCAAATGGTTGGATGCTGGAATCAAGTGTGGTGTAATCACGATGACCACTGCTAATCTTGATTGAGTCTAATGATGGTCAAACTGTAAACCATAATCCAGCACTTCTTGTGAGGCAACCAAGTTTCTTCTTTCAATTGCTTTTATTATTTTCTTTTAGTTATTTATGTTTTCTCATGTCAGTTTATTTCTTTTGTTTTGTGTGATTTGTAGGAAAAATAAAAGTTAATCATAAGAACTTTAAGGAAAAACCTCAGCCAGTCAGGGGAGTATTCTTCATCTTTTACACTTAAATTCATATATGCCTACACATTGACGACAATGTGCATTTTAATTTAGGGGTAGGAAAATTTGAGCTAAATTTTTAAAAATTTTTAAAAACTTTTTTGAACTTAGGCTTATTTGACTGTTGCTATGAGTTTTTAGTATGCTTCCTTTGGTTAATTATTATTGATCCTATGGTAGAACCATGATTGACTTTGATTATAGCTTTAGGAAAAGAATAAATTTGGGTAAGCATGAGATGAATTTTAGAATTTGTTGTTAATTGATTGCAAAGGTTCACTTGTGGGTTTATGTTCAAATCATTGAATTGCATGTCATTTAGTGATTGTTTATGTTAGTCTAAGAATTGCATTTTATTTTTTAAGTTGTGGCTATGTTCTAGAATTTATCTGATTACTTCTTGAGGTGAAATTCTAGGCTACACTAATTAGAGAAATGACTTAGGCGATCCTTAGATCGATTAAGCCTTTCAAGCTAACCGTAATGCATTTATTCGTAGTCACCCATTTTGAGCCTTATGTTATCCTTTTTCTTGTTATGCACTCACATCAATAAACTTAGACCATTTCTCGTATTTTCATACTTGTTGTTCCTACCCTGTGTGCATAAGGATCACTCATGACATAATTAAAGAGCTTTGTCACATTTGGGATACGAAAAAAATAATAAAAAAAAAAGAAAAAATAACTTAAAATGAAAAAATAAAGTGGAAAAAGTTCAAGTTTAGGGGTGCTAAAGTTTTCGAAGCTCTCTAATTGGTCTTAAGCTTGTAATGTATGATTAAGGTAGTTGAACCTAAAAAAACCCTTTCTATCCTACCTTTACCCTAGCCTAACTTTGCAAACTAGCAAAAATCTAAGGATCTTGAGTTTAGTATTGACCTAACATTTGTGGAGAGAGGTGGGAAAGGCAAACTTATGGAATATATGTCTTCTTTGATTATGTTGCGTTAATTCCATGGTTGTATATTCATAGCTAGATTGCATGTAATGATATGTGATGAATGCTATACACAATGGAACTTTAATTGAATAGATGTACATTCTAGGATAATTCTCATATCTAGCCCTTATTTAGACAACAATTAGAATCTGTGAACTACAAGCAAAATTTGTAATAGAAACAACAATTACCCTTAAAAAGACCCTTAATGTTTGGCACGGTCACTCCCTCACTGCCCCTAAAACCTTCTATTAAGTTAGCACCCTAACCTCCCTCAACACCCTACATGCCAATAAGGGCAGCCTTAATTGATCTCTCCACAGGTTCTTATTGCAAGCCACCAGCAAGGGGACCCTCTTAATGAGCCTTAGGCTTTTTGGGCTTCATAGCTTCTCTCTTCATTGTAACAACATAACAAATTTACAAGTTAAACAGTGACATAATTTAGCAATTTCACGTCAATCAACATCAACCAATAGGAACACTAATGTAAGATACAAAACAATTAAATAGTGCACTAACATTTTTTACCCTGAAGAGCCCCTTTTCTTTGTCCATTGCTGCTTCTTCTTTCCCACCTTTTTCCTCATCCAGCACCCCCTGGATAGCAGTAGCCAATTATTCATCCTCATCGAGGAAAAAGCAATAGTCACAGATGTTTTCACGTATGGACAACTCTATGTATGATATTTTGACATCCTTCAAGGCACAAACTTACTTGGTCTCATCATTTTTAAGCTTATGAAGTCCCTTGGTACTAGTCATAATGGGAATCGCATTATGAAAAGAAACCATATGCTAGGAATCCTTGTACACAACACCACATACTGGTCATAATAAGAGTGGCTATTTAAAATAAGCTCTATTATGCAAGATCACCTATGTGCCTAGAGATAGTATAACCAGCCATTGATCTTTTTGAGCATGTAGAGCACCAGTATTACATTCACCAAGGACACCTATTTCTTCAATTTACAGTAGATGAAATAGGTGATCAAGATCACCCAAGTATTTTTCGTTATTTAAGATGTTGCCATATTGAAAGTGCCCAGCATCAAGTGCAAGAAAGGATGCAATAGGAGATGGAACCCATGCCATCCATTCGAAGTCCCCCATCTAACTAATGGTAAAGCTTGGTGGCAATATAGAGATCTCATACATGAGATCATGAGGGTTGAACACCACACAATCTAGCATCAACTCAACCATGACCAGTATTGTATTAAAGGGATAAATATTTGGTGGCCACATCCCTACTGCCAAGTCCTTCGACTCCTCTACAACAACCATTTTGCCTTTCCTCTTTTTCCCTTTTACTTAGCAATAGCTAGGGAGTTAACATCAATAGAAGAGCCCCCACCTCCTTATTCACAGCGTTACGCCCTTGGCCTCTATTGCCATGTCCTATTTAGCCTCCATAACCTTTACCCTAAGCCCTTTTTCCTCTACCTTAGGCTCCCTAAACTACTTCCCCTTTACCTTGGCCACTAGTGTTAGTTGCAAGTACCCTAGCCCCCTTATCATCACTTGAACTTTCAAGTACTATTCTTCTTTTCGATGCCATCTCTTTCTCAAAAAACTAGAAAAAGACAATAAAAAGCAATGAAGTCTAAGAAATTCCCTTACAAAAACTTTTGCAGAAAAATTGAAAAACTGTCAACAAGCACAAAGACACTCACAACAAGATTCTTGTGAAAGCAAATAACAGAAGTGAGTTTGAAAATTTTTCAAGTCTTATATTTATACCTAGCCAAATGACATGAGAGAAACAATACCAATTGAAACTATTCCAAGCACTAAATGACATTTTTGAAACGGTACAAGTATGAACCATTTTAGTCGATCCCCAAACAATTCAAATTAATCCCCCTTAAAACTTAACCTTTTAATAATCCCACTTTTCAAAATAGACACGTTCATTCCTCTTCAAAAAACCAATTAAATTTTAAAGTTAAACCCATTTATTACATCGGACCACTTTATAACCCCAACACACGACGTGTTCTAACAACCACACCACTTAGAAACAGGCGCTTGCCCCATGCCATCCCAACAGACGCGCTCCACTTGCACATACTTAGCATAAAGCATCAATTTTTCATATCAAAATTTTTCTAAGTCCCCACATGTTGTTCTCTATGCCTCAACTAACTACACTAGTCACTAAAAGACACCCTTCTCACCTTACAGGGACACGACATCAACACAACTCTACAAAAAAGCACTCTTCTCCTTGCAGAGACACATGATCAATACAACTCGCCATGAGAGTGCCCCTCGCCTTACAAAGACACATCATCAACGTAGCTCGTTAAAACAACATTGCCTTCCCACAAAGCATATTTTACTTTAGTCAATGGTCTGAGGACAGTCACTTTATAACCTCTTTCAAACCTAGGATACAATTGTTATGCCTGTTTACTCGATCAACAAAGTCAAGCCTCTGGGTCACCTAGCCAACACATGTCCAACTACCATGTCACCTCGCTTCAAGAACTAGTTTGCTCCGCACCAATGAACGGCTCTCCTGACACTTCCATTAACGTTTCATTAAGACATCACTTCAAAACTAAACGCTTGGCCTCTTACTTGTCCAAGATTAGTAAATACAGCCCACGCTTGCCTAAAAACATTAAATGTAATTCATAATCATCCATGTGGACCTTCTTCGAACTCCATATAAATTCATCATCAACTATCAACTATCTCAGTCAAATCATCACCCCCTATCCATATATAAGGTAAAAAGTAGGCCCAGGTACATAAGAATGAAATTAAATAGTCTCATATATAATGAATTGGATGTAGTTTTTGAGTCATTGCCCACCATCTCATATATCGTAATTAAGATATGCAATATGAATTAGATTAAATAGTCTTTGAATATAATAAAACATTATTTGGTAATACCTTACAATCATAGTTTTTGGCAATAAATAATGTTTATATTTTTTTATTTGAGAACGAGAGGAGGGAAAGAGTAGGTTCTTATTTTCCTAGTTTATATTCTCCTTGAGAATTATGACATCCCCATTTACAAAAATCAAATTAAGAATTGTAATTCTTTGATTGTGCTAAATTAATTTAATTAATTAATTTATCTTTTCACTGAATTAACATCCTTATTGATTTAACTAATTTGTCTTTTCATTTGAATTAACGTCTTTTGAAATTTATTAAGTGATATTCGCAACCTTTTACAAATAAGAAAACATCTTATGAAAAAGTTAAAACTTATTTAAAATGAAATCAACTGTTATAATGACAAACTATCAATTTTGAACCAGAGCATTTGAAAACCAGGAAACTTAGTTTTTCTGTATTCGGTTTGAAGTGTGAAAAAAAATAAATTAAGAGCCAAATTTTAAAGAAAATAATTAATTAATTTAAAATATTTTCTTCCCACATTCAAAATATTAAACTTAAAGGGGAAAATATGAATCCTTCAATTTTTCTTCTTTTTATTTCTCTCCAATCAAACTAAAAAAGACATTATTTTCCTTTTCTTTCAATTTCCTTTTTCCCTTTTATCAAACAAAGTTTATTGATAAACAATTCCGGCTTCAGGTGCTTCAAATTGCACTGAAATCCTACCCGTTACCATCCCTATCTTCCTATTTCCTTCCTAAACGACAAAATGTTTGTGTAGAAACAAGAAAACAACCAAAAGCGAAAGGCTAAAAAAGAAAACTGCAGCAACATTGATCCCGACAACTTTAAAAAAACAAAAAAAAAAAAGAATATATGGTGTCATTAACTACTTTTAAGTCACAAATCCTTGCGAATAGCACAATGGAATTTTCATGTTTAAAGCACTCCCAGAATGGAACTGCTCAGACTACCAATTAAGTGCGAAACGTGCTCAACAAGCTACTAGTAGGAAATTGGTAGCCAGCCTACTCATCAGTTATCTCAACATTTCCTCCCTTGAGATGCAAGTGCTTTTCTCTTTTCTGGAAATCTGTCAAGCCCTTTCCACTACCTGTCACACCAACCTTACCATGAGGGTCGTCCGGAGACTTGAAGATGCTCTCACGCTTACGGCCTGAGAAAAAACCAACCTGGAAAAGGAAATATGAACTCAGTTAATGCAAAATGCTAATATTTCACTAACTACTATTATAAATTAAAAACTTCAACTAAGATTTTGTATCTCAGTCTAGTTCCTGAGTTCTAAATAATTAGCTCCCAATTAACAGCAAAGAAGAAAATTTGTGAAGGGCAGCTTAAAAGAGCTATTATGTTCACTAACACATCTTTCTATCATCAATAAAATCAATCCTTCACCCTTTTAATGATGACCGATGCATTCAAACACTACCAAATGGGCAGCCTATAAAAGAAATAGAAGAAAAAGCAGGTCATCCTTTGCAGGAAAAGAAAAACCAATTTTAGGCATTTTTGGCCTTTTTTTCCTTATCAACCAAAAAGACCATATATAACAACTGTCTATAATTGGGAAATATTATAAAAACATATCAACGGTAAAAATGTTTGCTAGACAGACCTTTTTAGTCTTGCCTTTGGTTGTCTGAAACTGCTGCCAAGCATTCTGCCGCTTATTCTGTGCCACTTCAAGTTGTTCAAGTCGCATCTTTGACTTGAAAGCATGTATCTTCTTTCGCTTGGCAGCTTTCTGTGAATCACGGGCAATAAATCATCAAAATGGTAGAAAATAATTTCTGTCAAATTTTTTATCTAATAGAAGATAACAATAATTGGTAGGTGTTAACAAAAAAATATTTGACTAAAAAAATACAGCATTGGAAAATAACAAGTAGAAAATAAATACTTACTAGCTGAGGAATTTTCGAAAGTCTCAACTATAGGTCCAATTTTAGATGTACGCCATTAGTTTAAAATCAGTCCATGTAAGAAAACCATGAATCATAACCCATAAACTTACATGTTAATTGGACCGGCGATGACGTTAGTTTTATCAGAAGTCATTACTCGTGAAAGCAAACTGAAGTTTAGATTCCCCTCAGCAAAAATCTAGCGTTCTATAGAAGCACTGTACAGAGTATCTTACCACATCCTCAGGGTCATCAGCAGCTATTCGAAGCTTTGCTGGTAAGCTTCGAGATTGAAAGTCAACAAAAGCAGCTTGAGCTATCTTACTTTTGATAGCTTGTTTTGTAGACTCAGCAACCTTTTCAGCTTCCACCAAAGCATTGTATTCAATTGCCCTTACATTGGCAGGATCCACCTGGGATTGAAATTGCATATGGTGAAAGGGATTAGCGAGGCACTTAAGGGGATTGACAAACAAATAGCAGGAAACACAAGTTGTGTCTGAACATAGATCTATCGATGGTCAATTAGAAACATGAGGAAATAAGAACTCCCAAATAAGGTTCTATTAGCAGAATTCTAGGATATACTCAACTAATAGATACGGGACTAAGGAAATAAAAAACTGCAATGCACCTCTGGCAAAAGCAATGCTGGGTTAGCGTTTAAGTGGATTCATGTCCTGTCAAGAAATACCCATTTCATTGCATAAAATTAGACCCCAAAGAATGAAAAGTAAAAAGCAGGGAAGCAAACTTTGAATAAAATGCAAAACCATTGGAGACACTACTAAAAGCTGATCATACTTCCTCGCTTGACTGTTAAGCCCTACTAATCAAACCATTTATAGGCTACGCAAAAAAGTCTTTTGAGATGAAAAGATCAAAAGCCCATCTGACAGAAAAGAAACAAAAGGTTCTCACTTGTTGTCTCAATGAATCTTTTTCTCACTTTCTAGCATCTCTCTTCTTAAAGTCTTTTACTTTATATTGCCCAGAATTCCACCAAAAGGCCTCTCTATTTCACCATGTAATCATCAACATATTGCTCTTGGGATTATTCAACGGTAGAAACTTGACAAATTATTGCCATTTGTAGTTTAGGGATCAAAGTGGCAAATAACTGAAGCCTCCATTTTCCTTTTTGTTGAAAAAATTTTACTGGGTGTTCTTTTAATTTCATCTCATTTGAAAATCATGCACCAATAAACTTGTTTTTAACAATCTCTTTAAAAAAACCCTAATCAGATGCATGTTATTATTTGTTGAAAATCTTTTAATGGCTTTGGATTCTGTTCCAAGTTCAAGACATCCTTCATGCAAGTGCAACCAATATTTTCATTTATAAAATATAATCATAACATGCCCATAAGGGTATTTTCAAGATTCCAAAAGTTTCAGTGCTATGTCAGACCGCCTCTAACACATAACACAATCGACTCAACATTTACTAAACTATTGACAGATGGTCAAGGGGAAAAATGTAGGTTTTGAAACTACAAGATGGAAAGTGTAATTTGTGGGTATCTCCTGTTAGAATAAATTTGTAATATTTGCAAATATTTAGGGTATAAAAGCCTTTAGACATTTTCTGGATTATATAAACTATTGTAATGAAACCCTAAAGATATAGTGAGAATTTTTTTTTCATTATATCTTAAAGGTTTTGGTACAATAGTTATAATACATAAAATATGTGTAAAGGCATTTATACCCTAAAATTTACAAAAGACATAAGAAGAGGAGGTGAAGGTCATAACCAGAGTGCCTATGAGAATCTGGTGTGTACTCTCTCTCTGACAAAAGACACAGTGTTCATTGAAATAAAATTTATATCTCACAAAACTGCTAAAAGCAAGCATTGGAGCATGAGAGAAACTTACATTTAGGAGTCAATTGCTAAGAGGAATGCAAGCCACATTCTTGACAATTTAAAAGATCGAAATGAGAGACCCATGTTTGGTATGCCACGTTTCCAAGAATGTCCATTTGAGGGGGAGGGGAGGAGGGATGCGGGTAGGGTGTGAATAGCTGTAGGGATATTTTTATACAAAAATTGTACCAACACTTGCCTTAAACTAGGGAAAGTTTTCCTACCTCATTGCATGAGAAGCAAACTTCTTCCTCCAGTGAGAAAGAGATGCTGAGATAAAATCACTTTCTAGGAAATGTCACACACCAAACAAGGATATCTCCTAACAACCTTTTAAATTCACAAGTATGCGGTTCATATTCCCCAATACCAAATGGCAACAACTTAGCAATTTTAGTTAGATCTAAATCAAGAAGTTCCAAATTCCACTCACACCAAACACTACGATACTATGTTTATACATCCTACATGCTACTCTTCCCCTCAACTTATTAGGAGTTAGGCAGGTGAAGAAAGACACTCTTTTTTCTTTTTTGGGTAGGGGAGGGGGTGGGTTGTTAGTTGTTTATAGATTAACACAACATGCAATTAAAAAAGCAATAAATATCCTTTATCGTTCATGACACTCAAAAGAAGCTACGAGAACATTTCACTAGCAAGAAAGATTCTAATTATTACTTTACACTAGGGGTGTAAGTGAAACAACACGTTCACTGAACAGCTCATCAGTGAGCTAGGTTTAAGCTAGTTTACTTTCATTTATTAATTAAATAAATGAGTTTGAACAAAATTGTCAAGCTTGTTTTAATCAACGAAACTGAGATTGAACATTGGTGAGCTCAACTCATTTATGTTCATGAACAATTTGTTTATAACTTTCTTTTATTTTTTATTTTGCTTTTTAGATTTATATACAATTTTTTAAAATTTTAATTTAGCTATCTTCTAGAATTTTTATTAAAACCAATATCTTTTTAAAATTCCAACTATACTTCAAACAATATTAGAAATTTTATCTTTATGATTAATTTAAGATACTAGATCTAAATATCTAAACTCCATTTAGAAAGCCTCAATTTCCAAGCTCTAGCTTTCTTCCTTTCTCTTTCTAAACACCAAATCCAATTTCTCACCACTCTCTTCTCTCTTATCATTCCTCCTTTCTCTACTAGTAACTCCAACGTATTTTGTTTTTATTCCCCTTGCACAACTCATCCTTCTTTCTAAATATTTTCTCACCCACTTCTTGCCCTCAAATTTCTTCATTCTCTTCAAGACTCTCAAGCCATTTCACATCTTTCAAGCTTTACCTTTTGCTCTCCAAGTCATTTTTAGCCTATCCCCAAGCAAAACTTTTTTTTCTGTTTCAAGTCTCTTGTGTTTTGCTGTTTCTAAACAATTGTGAATTTTGTTGTTTGGAATAAGTTCCAACTTGATTATTTTGTTCAATGTAAACAAGTTCCATCCCAGCTCAAGCGCTACTACTGAGCTGAGCTTAAACAGAAAATGTAAGCTTCACTAGAGCACAAGCTCAAGCTCAATTTCTAATAAAATGAGCCAAGTCAAAGGCAAAGCAAAGCTTGGCTTAGCTATTTTCATTACACCTCTACTTGATACCCCCACCTCTTTTTTCCCGCTTTCCCTTGTCAGGAAGGACTAGCACTCATTGCTCTTGCCACTAAAAAGTCAAACATGTTCAATAATTTCAAATTATCATTTTGTTACTAGTGAAACTATGCAATGGTGTAAGATTGTGCACATGTATATGCAAGTTTGTGCGTGCATGCTATGTACACCCGCGCATGTAGACACCAAAAACACAATTTATATGCATAAAAACAAGGATTTTCAATTTTCTTTGTAGAAAGAATGCATAATCTAAAGACTAAAGATAGAAGATCTAAAAGATAGAGAAAGAGAAATATATATCTAAAATGATAATTTGAACTCTATGTTTGTGAAATCAAAACTCATCAGCATCTATCTTCAAAAAATGAAAAAGGGTCATAATGCTAACAAAAACAAAAGAACTAGTAGGTTAGGAAAAGCAATAGACTATAAAAATTATAAAGGGTGAATTTGTATAAGAATCTCATGTGGCAACCAGAATGGTACCTCTTCCTTATTTCCCCATCCATCAAAAGAGACATAATACCCATTTGGAGTAATAGCCTCAATAGTTGCATCATACCTGAATATTCAACTAATCAAACACGGAAAAGAAAAGTAGGGGAAGAAATGGAGAGGGAAAGAAAAAAATGGTTAAAATAAGAATATCCTTGTTTCTAAGCATACCACTCTCCGTCTTCACTCCAGACAGCCTGAACTTTTGTGCCAACATGAAATTTATCCCCATAATCAGATGTTTTCCTTGATTCCTAGATAAGAGAAAAGCATTTATAAGATGTGAGTACCTAAAAGAATAAGGAGAGAGACCTCCCGCACCAGAAAAAATAAACATTGAAAGAACAATTCCAATTGCCCGCTTGACCAAAATGTATTTTCAAATAAGTACGTAATGAACAAAAGAAAAAAGATTTATGTTGCCAATCAAATTCTACAAAAGAATAAAGGCTAAACCAAGGAAATAGTTGGAGATTATGAAATAAATATTAGCAATTCCCATAAAATAACTGTATCATTCAACTACTTGTCCCAACTACGAATCATATGCCAACACTATAATGACATGCAAGAACATCTTGCATCAAATGCTTACATAAAACAGTCTCAGTTATGTGACAAATTGGATATGAGAAAAAAACTTAAATGTGACAACTTATTACCATACATTAGTACAAAAATTGTAAAAATGTAAAAATTTCCATTTCAATTCAGAATCTTGCCTTTCTGAATAAAGCACCATATTTGACAAACAAAATTAACTACAAAAATAAGTCAAAGATATAATTAGCCATTTTAATCACCTTTGATTGTGCAGTGAGTACAGTAGCACTAGTCCCAATATCTGATCCAGAAATCTCATTTTGCTTTGCAGTTGCAAGCAGTTCCTCTGTCAGAGCAATCACCTGCACCCCAAAGGTTCAGCACAATTCTACATCTAAAAAGAATCTATATATTTAGTAAAATAATAAAGGGTGAATTGTTATCATATTTCGAACTTAGAATCTCAGGATGAACATCGCAAATCAGGTGAATGAGAAGCAGGCTACCATCACAACACACAGCACACCTGCAAAGGAATCAAGATCAAAGTGATGGGCATCTTGCCAAAGCTCTATATGTTCACAAAATTTCTTTTTCTCCCTAAAGTTCACATTTTTGCATCTGTGAACTTTTTAAATGTATGAACCATCCTCACCTTTTGAACCCTGAAATGAAAACAAACCTCCAGCAGAGCCATTACCGTTAGCAGTTAATTGATGTTGCTTGTTAGAGCAACATATTGATTCCTTCAAAAGAGGGAAGGAAGAGAAATAGTATTTTCATCACCTTAATGAAAAACTTGACATCTAAAAAATTCTCTAAAAACCAAAACTGATTATTTGATCACTTTTTGGTGCTGGGTAATAGGTCAGTTCCATTTCTTAACAGAATAATCACATTGTAAATACAACATGACAAAGAAAGAGAAAACAATAAAAAAAGGAGAAAAAGCTACAACAAAAACTAAAATGAAAGATTAAAAACAAAGAAAAATAAGCACAAGCAAGGATAACCTCTGCGAGCTCCTTTCCCATGTACACATATTCAAGGTTTCCAGGATCATCAGCCAGAAGCTGTCTAACCTGATTTTCACCAAAATCAGGTAATTAGTCGTGTTTTTGCAAGTCCTGTTGAATCAAATAACCAGAAAACATAGAATTCTTCCACTTTCTCAGCAAGCAAAGTCAATTATGAAATACTTCTTTTAATCATAAAGTAGTAGTAATAAAAACAAACCCTAAATCCAAATCATTCATTCGAAAAGTACGTAAATTTAGTCCAATCACTACTAATTGGGTTGTTAAAGGCTTATACCGGCAGATAAAAAATTGTTAAAAATTAAAGCAAACTGCGAGTATTAAGTTGAAAATTGAAAAGAAAAGAAAGAAAAAATGGAAACCTGCTGCAGCTGTTCCTTATATGTAGAGAGATTTGAAGCCAGCTCTTCTATGCTTAGCTCATCTGTTCCTTGCATTATATGTTCTATCTAACTTTTCAATTTTCCTTTCTGAGTTTTTGATGAGTTCCTTTATTTTTAGGGTTTTATATTTGTGTATTTGGATATGAAATTCTGCTAAAACACAAGATGCCCACAATTTGGAAACTCTTCATTTATACCAGCGCTAGAATTGGATAGTATAGATGGGGAACCAACAGGATTGGCTATTCATCTCGTACTTGGTGTGTTTTGATCTGACCTTATAAAACCAGTTTTATTTTTTCAAATCAAGTTTCGAATTATATGGAATTTCGTTTCGACTTAACCCGTATATATATAAATATATATAGAATCATTTATTTTAGATTTAGATTTAGATTTAGACTTATATATTTATTTAATTTTATATTTATATTTCAAAAATAATATTTTATATTAAAATTTTAATATTTTATTAATTTTGATTGTGAGTTTAAACACATATGAGTTGAATAAAATTTAATTATAAAAAATAATATTTTAATATTAAATCGAATTCAAATATTAAATCTATAAAATTGGGTTGAGTTTAAAAAAAATAAAAACTCACTTTATTTGATCTGTTATTATTTATAGAATCAAGAAAAGTTCTAACTACACCCATTTTTGCTTTATACATTTTTATTTTTTATTTTTAAATTTTTTATAAATAAAATTACTTAAATTTCATTCTTATAAATTTTCAGATATTCATTATTTTTAAAAAATTATAATACTTTCCAAAAAAAATTTTTCAAAAAGTTATAACATCTATGAAAAATACATTTCCTGAAAAAGAAAGTTAAATTTTATAAAAAAATTACAAATAAGGAAATATTATTAAAAGTATTTAGAAATTAGTGTAGTGAAAAGAATTATAATAAAAAATAATAAATTATAAAATTAATAAAAAATTATTTTTATTGTCTTGATTTTTTAGAGATGCATAACGTCCTAAATATGATAATTATATACTTATTAAATATTTTATGATGTTTCATAGAATATAAAAAATAGAGAAAAATTACTATTACCATGTTCTTGCCTTCATACAAATTTAAGAATCAATGGAAAAAATGTTGAAAAAATTAAATTAATTCAAAGTTAAAGATTTTCTTGATCTGCATTATGTGCCTATTAATAAAGAGATAGTAATACAATTGAATATTGTATAATTTTATTAAAATCTAATATGCTAATTAAAAAAATATCATGATAAGTATATAGAAATATTTTTCTAAGGAGTTCAATTTAATAACAACTATTATAAAATTTTAATAATCGATATAAAAATATTTATTAAAAAATAATAAATTTTAAATTTATAAAAAATTATATTTGCTATTTTTATCTTTAATCTAATTAAGTTTTCATAAAATATTATTCTTTTTTAATAATAACTTTTTAAACCTATCTACAAATAATTTTAATAAGACTTTTTTTAATTTTTCATAAAATTTCACTTTTAGGGCCAAAAATGCATTTTCAAGAATTTTTATAATTTCTCAAAAAATTATTTTCAAAAAGTGTTATGACTTCTCGAAATTACATTTCAAAAATTATAAAATTTGTAAAAAGATATTTTAATAATTTTACTTGAAAAAAATTTGAAAAAAAAAAGAGGTATATAAAACAACAACGATGATGCAAATAGAATTTCTCAAGAACCAAATGTTGTATTTTAACTTTACAATAAAGCCCCTATTTTCTCTCCTAATACCTACCATGTCCTTATATGCATGTAATTTTCAATTTTACTTTATTTTTTCTATTTATTTTTAAATAATAAATTACATATTGAATAAAGAGTTGCATAGTGTACATATCAATAATATACTATTTTTTTTCCCATCCAATTGAATGAAATTGTTGAATTTGAAATTGTTAGAGGTAGATCTAGTAATTTAAAACATGATATGATGATATGATATGAATAAAAGATATAAAAATGACATGATTTAAAATTTTAACAATAAATATATATATGGGTTTAACAAAATCAAAATAACATATTTCATATTTTCGTGTTACTACAAATTATGGTATGTAATTTTTTATATAAAATATGACATGAATATAAAAATTTTAGTATTTTACATGATACGAATATACAAATCATCATATCTAAAAGTCTTTGAAACTTCTAATATTGACAACTATCTTTTGTTAATTTGGTGGGCTATGTGCGAGGTGTTGGGGTTGTAAGATTTTGGATTGTGTGGTAATTAGGTATATTTTTATGAATTTTGAGTTTTTATTATTTATTATTTATAAATAAATAAATAAATAAATAATAATAATAATAATAATGATAAATATAAATTTAAAAACTTCAAAACAAAAATAAAATTTAAATTACTTTCCTTCTTTTTTTCTTTTGTTTAAAATATTTTTATAAAACAATTTATAATTTACAATAAATTGAAAAATAATGCATTTGATCGAATGATTCATAAAAAATACAACACTCATAATATAGTATGAAAAATTAAAATATACATAATCATAATATATGAAATATTATATATATATATATTAATTTTAACATTTTTATAATATTTTTATTTATTTTATTTTTTATTTTATATTAAAATAATTATAAATATATTCAACAAAATAAAAAAAAAAACAAAAAATAGTCCACCCCAGTATAGAAGAGCTAATTCTAGTATTATTATTAAAATTAGCAAATTGCGTGCAGAATTAACAAGTTCATTCTATCTACAAAATATATCTTAGGAACATTAATTTTGGTTACTTTTAACATTAATGTAAAATTATAATTACGAAAATATAGCAATTCTATGATACAATAAGTTTGTAAATACCTTTATATTTAAATTAGATTAAAATTAAATTTGCCAGTAAGTCAAGCTTAACCCAAGCCAAGCCTTACCAAGAATTTTTAAGCTTGAGTTTGATTGAATTTGGCTTGTGAATATATTTTATTATTAATAATTAATTTTTATTTAATTCTAATTAAAATATGTCAAAATATAAAATATTTTCTAATATTTAAAAAGTAAATTTAAATAAATTCACTTAAATAAAATTTTATAATTGGTTAGGCTCAGTCTTTGACAAACAATTTGAAATATCGATCTAAGCCTATTAAAATTCATGAACGCATCTAATTAGAACTTTGCTAACAATGACAAATCCATAATTTTTTTTATAGGTGTTCACTTATAATGTATATAAGACACTACCAACAGATTTACATATTTTATTAATAGAAATGATATCCAAAAAAAATTTAAATGTTTGAAGGAAATTTTCTTTTAAATTTTTTTATTTTTCAAATTTATGGATGTTTAAAAGAAAATTTTAAGGTGACCAATAAAAAATTTTCCTTTAAATTTCCTTATTTTTTTAATTTTTGGGTGTTTATAAACACTCCATCACACCATTTACATCCATCCCTATTTGCTAACATAATATTGAAATTCTACTTTTGGATTTAATGTCATGCATTTTTTTTGTTTTACATTACTATTGTCAAGTATGTTATCATATTTTTTTAATGGCAAACATATAATATTATAGTATATACTTTTTTTAAGTTTTTAATATATCTTTAATCCCCTCTTTTACTACTTATCTGGTTGAAAAAGATATTATGTGCAAAATCTCCTTCAAATTCACAACCTTCAAGTATCAGCTCAATGATACTTGGAAAGCAATTATACTATATACTAATGATATGTTAATTGATCTAAATGTTAGTTGGTATATTATACTATATATTTGTTAATAATAATTAAATTAATTTGGAAAGCAATTATAGGGATAAAATATAAATGAGTCGATTATATTAAGGCCCAAAATAGTTGGATACAAGTTTGTTGTGACGTGTTGAAACCTAGGGCGGGTTGACTCGAAAGCTGGGTGAATGAGAAAATTTTGGAAAAACAAAGAGATTAAAAATATTTTTGATAAAAACAAAACCAAATGAGCCACTAACAATCTTTTTTAGGATGTGATTGGTCACCTAAAAATTTTTATCCCTTTAATAAAATAGTTTTAAATGGTTTAAAAATTTAAAAAAAAAACAAATTTATGGTTCGTGAAATCAAAGTTGACTTTGAGAGTCAGTTATGTGTGGAGAAGGATTAGCACCCTTACAGCACCTGTTGAAGATGTTATCAATTGATTACATGTTATCCTTTAATTTTAATTAAAGTGGTCCTATTTACTTAATGTTTAAAATTAATTCATTTTCTTCTTTTCTTTTCTTTTTCATTTTTTAAATCAAATTTAAAAACAAAAAGGTTTTTTTTTAACAAAAACAAATCAAATTTAAAAACAAAAGTTTTTATTTTTATTTTTGGATCAAGGTAAAAATAATTTAAATATCAAAACATATTTTCTACTCTCCTATAATTAGGTAGAGTTTAAAAAATATTCCTAATTTAAAAGTTTTCAAATTGTGTCATAAAACTAAGATAACATATTTCATAAATAATGATTATCAATAGTCTTCCTATAGTTAGGCAAGATCTCGATGATTATATTTACTTAAGATATTTTTTGTTTTAAAATGTTTTTCTTTGAAAAATAATTTTTGAAATTAAATGCATGAAATGCATGAATATAATAACATGTGATAAAATGCATGACAATATAATATAAATGATAAAGTATGAATGCATGATAATATAAAAATACATGTGATGACAAGGTAAAATAAAATGCAAATGCATGATTGATTTAAGGTTTGAGGGCTTGTTATGGTGTTTGGGTTGGTTTAAGGTTTAGGTTAGGCTTTAACATTTTAGGGTTTAGGGTTAGGGTTTTAGGTTTAGGTTTAGGATTAGGGTTTATGGTTTGGATTTGGGGTTTGATGAGAGATTTAGGGTTTCAAGTTTAGGGTTTCAAGATATAAAATGAATGTAAATTACAAAAATGTTATTAATGAATGCATATGCCAAATGCATGACCTAAAAAACATAATTACAAACTAAGGTATTTTCAAACTTAATATTACAAACATATCATGTATGAAAATTTAAGAAAGAAAAACATAAAACTTTTCCAACTTTTAAATGTTTCACCATTTTTTTTTTTTTTTGGTGTTCTTCAAAATCCAACCAAGCAAACATTAAAAATCATCCAAACAACCTATTCAACTAGCATTTTTCCATTGAAAAATTAATCTAACACATTGAAAATTTAGTAGATAGGATGAAAACATAATTCAACACATAAGATCAAGTGACATTTGGCCACAAATGGATGAGCAAGTTTTGGCCAAGCAAAGAAACTACCTTGGCCAAATACTCTATGACATTTTCACAACTCGTTTTCATTTTTTT